TGCAATTAAGTTCCGACCCACGTGCGTATTTTGCTTCTTCTCGCCGATCGCTCTATACCTAGGCCATTTATTTCTAGGAAAATAGCCTCTTTGCAATAGTAATTTCACTACTGACAATATGGCTAACCAATATTGTCTATCTTATTTTACGCAATATTTTATTGTTACTATTTACTATATAAAATAACATATTCTAATACTCTACTTCTAATAGGCTTTTTATAATTGACAAGCTGTATAAGTTCTTCTTTTTTTTTTCATCGAGTAAAATAAATTCAAATTAGTCTTTAGATTACGAGGTAGAATAGTTGTTTTTTTTTCTTTTGTTGTGTGTGTGTGTGTGTGTGTGTGTGTGTGTGTGTTTAAATGCAAAAATTAATACTCTAGCACTTGAAGCAAGTAAATTTGAATGCTAGTATTTCCATTTCTTTATCAATTTGAACAAAGGCTTTTTACACACGTACGTGTGTGCGTGTGTGTCCATGTTTATTTTCACGTTAAAACAGATCTTTTCAATTGAATGTAAATGTAAAAAATGCAGCGACTCTTACCGAGAAGAGCAGAGAAGAGTTCAAAAAAAAAAAATAAATAAATAATAATAATAATAATAATAATAATAATTATAATAATAAAATATAAAAGGACATGCATTTTAAGAAAGGGGAAGCGATAACCCACTTTCCCATGCGAAATAGATAATTCCGGCCGAGGAGAAAAAAGTTGAAAAAGTGCGAAGAACGTGGAACCTCGTGATTGCCCCTCGAGCTCGTAGCAACACGTTACCATTCTGTAAATGTGTGCATGTGCGCAACTTACGGCGGCAATAAACAACACGTCATTTTTGCCCGTTTCTACTTGCTGATAAAATCGCAACGCGCGTCATCGTTTATCCCTTCTCCTTCTCCTTCTTATCCTCCTCCTCCTCCTCCTCCTCCTACTCCTCCTCCTCCTCCTCTTCCTCCTCCTCCTCCTACTCCTCCTCTCTTCGAACCACTGGCCGTCGCACTCTTTGTCGACCGAGAACAATGCATACAACCCGACGAACGCTTATAAAGGCTGCTGCTGTCCAAATTTTTATCTTCAAACTTCTCTCATCGTTTGCTTTACGATGTCTATAAAAGATCAGTACTGTGCTTTCACCGCCGTACGCTCATATTCACAAAAGTCTGTGTCCGCTGCTTGAAACGAGGTTAAGTAGGGATTGTTTGGCTGGCACGAAGCATTTTTTCTTCTTTATATATATATATATATATATATATATATATATATATATTAATCGTACATAGACGAGTATTATATTTTTCATTTCAAAGCACTCAGTCGTATAAGAGTAAATAATTTTAAGGAAAATCATGACGGATGTGCAATCCGTCGCAATAGCTCGCTTTTCATCAGTAACATTGTTTTGTCTCGACCTATTTTCCCCACTTTGCATTACGTATTCAATATGTTACATATGTATTACGGGGACGTAATTACACGAGGACACGAGAAAAAAGTGCTTCAATTCGAAGCTGCTTCTCTTTATCCGTCCGTTTAAAATAATCTTTGTCAAACAAGCTTCAATTACAAAGTATTTACAATCATAACATAATGACAATAACTATAATTATAATATTAATAACAATTTTAATGGTAATATACGTGTATAAGATTTATGGCATATACGGATTGCTTGAATATTTCAGCTTGAATATGTGCGAATTTTCACTTGATTCTCCGAGCTTAAAACTCGCGATCCCTACCAAACGGTGCAACGCGCGAGCGCAACACATGTACTATAATCAAAGCCTTGTAGAAGCTCAAGCATTTAACTTAAAAAATCGCATTAAACAGCCGCAAAATGTCATGCTTATGACTGCATGCCAAATGCGAGTCATTTGACACTGCGGCGGATATACGTGTTAACCACAGCGACGGACGATTACTGCAAGTACTTGGTACTTTGGTCGCCAACATTTACGAAACCCATAAATCATCGCCGTAAAATGCTCGAGCGCTTTGTCCCAAGATCCTCGTATGTAGCACAGGTTGGGGCATTAATAGGTCGCCCCATCCTTACGGCCCCGCGACGAAGGACGAAGGCGAAGTCGAGCTGCCGACTATCACAGCTCCCGTGGGACCGCCGATTTTTGAGGGAAAGTGCGCGGCAACCTCGAGCGCCTCGACGATGCTCGCCCTAACCGGTTAACGACGAGTCTTTCATCGATCGTTCTAACGCCGCGATAATATTCAAACGACAAATATTGCCGCGAAGCTGGAGCGGAGGCAATTGCCGAGCCGATTGCCGTCGAGCTTTTTTTTTCTTTTTTTTTTTTATCAAGAGTCCTCGCGAGGAGGCCCGCGATCGATCAGGCTCGCCTACGCCTCGCTTATCTCCTCCCGGCATTGTTCCTCTCCGTGCGTTTTACGATTAATGTCACGACGGTGGCGTGGGCGGACCCGCCGACACCGCCTTCCAGTCCGTTATAATTGCCGAGCGCGTGCACGTTGAATACATTGTGACGTGGGGCCCCGACGTGTTGACCCTGCGGCTTTGGGGCCGCTCGGCAATCCTCGTCTCCATCGCTTTGATCGTGGCTGGTGCCGGTGGCTAGTACCCGCAGCCGATGCTCGCGACCGGGATGAGGGAGCCGATGCCGAAGGTGACGGTAAACGACGTATTCTTGCCTAAACTGCCGATGATGATCTCGCGAGGGCTGAGAAAGCGACGCGAGACAATGCTGCATGATCCTTTTTCACAGGATAAATGCCACTGTCGACTATTTTAATTTGCCTTTAATAATGCAAGAAGCCCTCGTGGAATTTGAGAGCCTTAAGCACCCCGGGCACTACGATGTATTATTTTGCTGCAATAGCAAAATAAGGTAGTCTTATTGGTAAAATAAAAGTCAAAATAACGAGGCAAATAGACACTTGAGAATACATTTTAAAAGCTTTGTTACAAAATAATTACTTTTTTGGATTTTTAGCCGATCGATCGTTTCTTCGCATATCTCCGAACTGGATTTATTCGCTATTTAGTATATCTTCTTTATTTTTTTTTTTAAATTTTTCGATTGGTATTTTTTTTTCTTTTATCATATTTTATATGACTCGAGATACTTGGGTGCAGAAGTTGTTTAAATTCCGCAAAGACTATTTTTTTTTGTTTTTTGTTTTTGTTTTTTACTCGATCGGCCGAACTCGCCACGGTGAGTTTATAGTGTTGTTATACTTTTCTTGAAAAGCATAAATCTGGAGAAACCTGTAAGAGCGCATACATATTATACAAGCACGTACACAAGTATATATTTAACTTGAGCCATTACAATACGTTTGAATTCGGTGCGTTTCGGAGCATTTAATTGCACATAGAATTTTGTCAGAATCTTTTTGCCTTTAATTTATCGATCGTTTATTAAATCGATTAAATAATGTTCGCGTTTGATATGATTGACTGGGTTAAATTGCACTGGAATTGTAAAATCAATTTGCCGCAATATTTTTACATCTACATGATAATAGGAAATATGCAGAAAATAAAGTTAGAAAGGGCATATAACGAGAATGTATTAGAAAGCATATTTATCAAAATTATCATTATAATATTAGCTATTCAATCTCTTTATCTGATTGATTACACATATTCTTATACGATAGATATCGAATAGACAAAATTAATAAAGAGCTTATTTAGAAGTTTAAATCAAGAAACGAAATCATCGTTATAATTATCATCATCATTAGTATTTTGTTTTCTATTGTTATGTTTAATAATGATTAAAAGGATCGATTAAAAATAAACAATATCTCTAATTACAGAGATCCTTTTGAAAATAATATAGAAATATAAACCTTCTAGTTGATCAACTAATCATTAGGATAATGAATTATTAACTTTTATAAAAATGTATGCTTTATTTGTCCTACATCCATTGAATTTAATTAGTATTTGTTAAGTATGAGTCATAATAATGCGATTAAACTTGTTAGCTAGAAAGTCAATAAGATAATTAATTGTCAATTGGCCCTTAAATAGTTTCATCATTAGCTGTTGCCATTTCTGTCTATGCAGCTTATTTCGCCTTGTGCCTTTCCCTAACCCCGCGATCACAATCCATCACACGTATTCGATTTCGCTCGTCATTCGCTCGCTCGCTCTCTCTCTCTCTCTCTCTCTCTCTCTCCCTCTCTCTCCCTCTCTCTCTCTCTCTCTCACTCTCATTATATCTTGAAACTCACATACCACTTCAACTTTCTCTTTTCGTAGAGAATACATGTTTTTCACGTTAAATCTCATAATCTTAGCGTTCAAATAATATCGATGATAATGGCCGACTTAATTAATTTCAATCGACTCGTCATATTAAAGCCACAACTAGAGTTTTTAAAACTATTTGTTCAATTAAGATAGTTATTGCATTAGATTTGAGCAGAAGTTGGTATTTTTATCCCGATAAATTTACGATATCGTTCGCTCTATCTATTATATGATATGTAAATAAGTTATTCTCTATCGGAAACCAATACGATAATGAGAATATTTAATGATTTATATAAAATGCATTGTTTATTTTCATCTAAGCATTTATAAATTAGATGAAAAATAAAATTGAAAATAAAAATAAGCAATGCAATTTATCTTATAAATAACGACTTAATTTATCCTTAATTATTATATCGTTAAGTTTCGTTCGGTAAAAACTATAAAAAGATCGGATCTTTCAAGTATTATGCTAGAATTCTTCAACTTTAGCTAATAGAGCTTTTAAAAACGTATGAATATAATCATCGAAAAAACAAATTTTTGTTCTGAATTAAAAATTTATGACAAGGTAGCGAAGATTTTTCGTCCAACTGTCGTTATAGATTATCATAATTTTCCGCGATATTCTTCTTTTTCACTGGCAATTACGAATATTTAGATAAGCCAATTAAAATGCTAATGTTCTTCTTGTGCTCTTTCGCGCACAAGATTTACGGTATATTATAAAACATTGCAAGCAACGACAACTTACCACATAGCTTGGACAGAAACCGGCTTAAAGATGTGCTGACAACCGCAAACGCTGACACTGAAGCCTCTGTAATGGAAAAAAAAGAAAAACGTAAGTTGGTACGAGATCTGGTCCAGGAATGATTATGGGACAGTTTATCGAACTTATTGATCGATTTTTCCCCCTGTGCTTGGGCAGTGTCTTATCGTAGGTTATTTTTAGAATTGTTTAGAATTTTTAGAATGTACTCGAGTCACTTATATTACAGAGACAAAAAGAGACAAGGAAGTGCGGACCACGTGTAAGTTCATTATGGGCATATTTGTCTTCCGAGGTATCAGCTGAGAGCTTTCTTTCCTTCTCGACGCGAACAAATTGTTTTCTATTTCATAGAAATAATTTTCATGCAGAATTCATTGAAATAAATGGTCGGCTTGTAAATGGTAAAACCAAAAGCTAAAAAGCATTAACGTTACCTGGATTACTCATTCGTTTAATGAATAAAACAATGGGAGAACAAACTTCATAAGAATTTAAAAAATTTTACTATCCGAGGTATTGTAAATTTGATGCCAAAGCAACCGAAATATGTAAATACGAAATATATAAGCTAAAAAGATAAATTGATTTTATCGTTAATCGTCATCTATTAAAATTCAATTTTTTATTAAAGTAATTGAATTACGAATTGAATTAATAGATGGAGGAATTCATAGAATTAACGAACGAGGCATTAAAAAAGCTATTATCTTTCAGTTTATATATAGTTCAGGCAGTGTAGATTTTTTTTAATTTTATAATCAATAGCAACTAATTCATGTAATTAATTGCTTCCACTTGATTAACGCTTATCAGACAAATGTTATAGACATTAATATTATTCCATTCAAACCACATACTTTATTATTATATTGAATCATAAAATCTAATAATAATAATGATAATAATGATGATAATA